CTCATTGTACTTCATGCAACAATCTTGTCATTATGATTTCATGTAAGTCCCTTGAAATTATCACATCACAGACCAGCAGACTGCCAAATGATGTTTTGCTGTGGGAATACTAATTTATAAAATTATAAGCCATTAGGTTTGACCTTAAAGATATCACTGTAGCACCTTACTTTCATTAATTTGCCTCATCTCAGTTAAAACAAGATCAGAATGACAAACTGAGTAATAAAAAAAAAAGATTTGATTCTGCCTTTATAATACAGTATGTCTGTGTCCTGACATGTTAACAAGATTGTGTCTTACAGTACACCATATAAACAGTATCAGGGTGTACTGCTGAATGCTTGTTCAGTAAAAGTATGATACTGTACATGTTATTTTATTATAGTTTAACTGTATATTATATTTGACTATAATTGCTGTCAAATGTACATATAATGTTTAATTACCATTTTAAAATTGCCCTTGACAAATGGTTATCTATATTGCATTAAATATTGCATCTCACTGCAAATAATGTCTTCAAATCCTTCCAGTCTGGTTTCAGACAATTACACAGCACAGAAAGTGACTCTCTTAAAGTTACAAAAAATCTTCTTATAGCAGCTTATTCTGGTTATCTGGTTCTGGTTATATAAAATCATATAAATTCTGGTTATATTAAGTATCTATCCTAATTCTCTTAGATCTTAGTGCTGCTTTTGGCACTGTTAATCACCACATTTTACTCTCCCCTCTTGAGACTGTGCTCAGAGTTTATGACATTGCTCTTAAATGGTTCAACTTACTGATCTTACTGATCGTTGACACTTTGTTTCTCTTGGGGGTTTTAGTTCTGAAGTTGGGTTCGTTAAATCTGGTGCTCCCCAAGGCTCCATACTGGGGCCCCTGCTATTCAGATTTTACATATTCCCCATTGGTCAGATATTAATATCACATGGTCTGAATAATAATTTATTTGCTGATAATAATCAGATTTATGTCCATATTAAACCTGACACTGAAGTAGCAGTTTCTGCACTAATTACAGTATATCTCTGATACAAAAACCTGGATGACTCCAAATGTTCTTCACCTAAACTGCAACAAGACAAAGTTCATGCTGCTCGCCAACTCCCATCCACTGCCTAGGTAAATCCAGTGAAGCAACCCTATCAGTGTGGGTGACGCTGTTCTTGAATTTCAATCAAAAGTGAAGAATTTAGGGGTGCTATTTGATCCCAACTTGACTTTCAACCCTCACGTGCAAAATATTGTAAGAACATCTTTCATCTATCTCAGAAATATCTCCAGACTACATCCTATTTTATCTATGACTGTAGCACAAAAACTGGTCAACACATTTGTCTGTTCCCTAATTGACTGCAATACTGCAATGCCTGCCTCACTGGGGCTTTTAAATTCACACTGAACAAACTGCAGTACAGTCTGTCCAGAATTCAGCAGCCAGAATCCTGACCAGGTCACATGCAAACGATCACATGCTCTGCCTCGTTCCACTTGTGTTTCTATAACCTTATTCTGTAATGTGCTATTCTTATGACTGTTTCTTTTTTTTACTCATAATGTAAAGCACTTTGAGATGTGACTTTTATAGGGACTTTACAAAATAGAGATTATTATGATTATTATTATTATTATTATTATTATTATTATTATTATTATTATTATTATACATCATGGCTACGGTACTTGAGTTGGGTCAAACAACATTAACACAAACTATGTAACTCAGCACAAACTGCGTATGATAAAAATAACTTTACAAAGAATGTGCCCCGTGAATGCAACAAAATATAGCGACACACACCTTCCAATAGAAGAATGACTAATCTTAAAACTTTACACAAACATCAATTCCTTTTGATTTTTATATTTGGGTGGAGTGATAAAAAATGTCAAGGCCAAATACATGGACAGAGCAGTGTAAAGCATAAACCTGAACTGAAAGAGATAATTCAGAGACGTTTCATCAGCTTTGTATAGGCAAGCAGCACTACAGTACAATTTAACAAACATAATTTATAGAATTAAATAAAAGTACATTGCGATTAAGAAATGGAACCTTTCTGCCACCATGTGGTTACTATTAGTGCCCAGACCAGTCTGGTGCATGAATATACTGAACCTTGCCTAATGAATTTCCTTCAGAATCAGATCTGTTGAAGTAAGGAATTTGTTAATTATTTCCTATAATCACTTGTTCAGTTGTGTAGGTTTAGGATTTTATATCTGGAAATTTCAGAAATATCACCTATCAAAACAGTAAATATGCAAGCCCTTTCGAGACAGGTACTACATGGCACTGAATTTTTTAAGTTATACTTTCTGATAAAGTTTTTAAATTAGAAAAATGCTACATTTATTTAAATAATAACAGATGATTAGCTCAGATAAAGAGAATTATTGTTGTTATTATTTTACTGGGCTAAAGGTTTAATCCACAGAAATATACAGTACAGTACATATCTACCTGTTTATACAACTGGGAATTTTACTCAAGCAATATTAAAGACAACAACAGTGCCTTACCTGGAATTTCAAACTATAACCTGGAAACCGTTTCTGCTTTACTTTTGTAATAAAGTGTTGCAACTACATTTTATAGAAATGCAATTTCAAGTAAAGTTATGTTCACGTTGCCTGATCAAGCATATGTAACGTTAAAGGCATGAAATAAACTAAAATGACAAGGCAGCTGTCTCTAAAATATATATTTTTTAATCAGTTAACAGCTCTAATCTACTGCGCAGTAGTGATTAAAACTTCATGTATGTTTCACTTATGGGCGGTGGCATTACAGTGTTAAACTTAAAAGTACCTTCGTAAAACGATTCCACATATTATCGGGAAAAAGTCATTTAGCCATTCAGACTCCAGTCAGCATCAAATATTTATCACCAATTTTAGAAACAGACGTTGTGCCGGAAGGATGCCTTGTAAGACTGAAGTTAGAAAGCCAATTCTTTACCCTCAAACACTGTCACCTCAGACAGACAGCTGTCACGGTTTCACCTTGGGTCAGCCCTTAAGGGTAAAGTATTATCTGATTACAAGCTGTGGTTTATTACCAAATTGATAAGTGGGTACCGTTATCCTCCATTATAACAAACAGAGTGCAAGACTGGAAAAGCACAATAACAGCAGCGGGTTTGAATAGTACAAAGCCCTTACACAAGAGGAAAAAACCTTTTACGTGTGTTTCAGTTGATCAGCTAACACTCTGAGAATTATTACTTTTGACTGTTAATTGCAGTTTGGGGGCAATCGTAGCAAAAAATAATGTTTTATACAAATTACAGTCTCTAGTTAAAATGATTGTGAACAGCATATACTGTACATGAGCTTCAGCTATGTAAAAGCAAAAATAATTAGTGGACGAATAGTACAGACCTCTCACATATAATGTAAGTATGCGTGGTTTTAATTTTAAGAGGTGAAAAAAATCGCCGTTAGTCTTGTTTTTAATTAAGATGCGTCATTGAAGCTTCAGATCCCAAAGGCACTAAACTGACTAGAGAACAGCTATCCTAGCGGATAAAAATCGAACACGTCCCATTTCATTCAAATGCTGCATGAGAGGTTTAATGATTTTGAAAGAAGTGTTTCAGCTTCCACAGCTGTCGTTTACAATGCACCCCCAGCACCCTTACTGCAGCCTCTCAAGTCACTCAATATTATTACTGCCTTTAAACTCTATTAGCATGTCTTAAAGCTAATGTCAACTAAGAATAACGAAAAGTTGCTGATTTTTTGTCAGAATTGTCACATTTGTTACACTAGCTAATGCAATGTTGTATATTATTTCCGGAAACAATAGCCGCTTACCTTTTAGTTTATGTTAACTGAACAGTACATTTCACGCATTTCCCATAAAGACAAACTACAGTACATTGCCTAACCACGCGAAAAGGTCACTGAAGAAGGTCGTATGGGGGTAAGAATAATGCGTTGTAACAATAAAGTTATTTAAACATCAAAATGTTACTTTAAACAGTAAAGAAGGCAACGGTAAAACAGATACGAAGCATATGATATTGTGAGCGTGTCTCCAATGACACTGTGTCATTATTTACATGTACTGTAGGTTGTACTCCTTTCATTGTCTTTTTAGAGTGTAAAGACAGTAGTGTCTGCGTGTGCTGCTCTATTTAACAATAAACGCCCTAAATATTATCAAGTAACCTTTAAGTGCTTTGATAGGCATTTCTCTTATAAACAGGTACCCGGCTCTTCACAGAAGTGTCCATTCACCTCTTTTCAGTTTCTAATATCACCTATCTCCATGGTAACTGTCTACGTTGCAATGATTTCAAATACAGCTATTTTGTCACGGTTCCCTGGGCTGGGATGTTCTGAAGTGGTTCTTACATCTGTATAATCCTACAGTAAGTAGCAGAGGTACTAACTAGAACACCAGAGTAAATAAGGTTATGAAAAAATAAATATCAATATACTACAAAAAAAAAACAAAGAAAAACAGCACAGGAAGACCAAGGGAAACATATGGGCTAACAAAGCATTTTCTAATGGAGTATTAAATATCTTAAACCTGCATTTCTGTTAGCATCCAGCTACTAAAAGCCTATAATGCCTTGTACTTCCTCTGCCTAATTTCCAGTGGGGATTATATGATGGATCAGATCAATGAAACTCACTGATGCCTTGTGTTATTTTCTTCTCTTAAAGCTGCGTCATCCCTTTTTTTATGGGAATGCTAGGCAGTAGGGAAAAAAATGCCTGGACATGCACCGAAGGAAGTGAGTTCAATTCTGTAGTTTCTTAGTATAGGTGTCCCTTTAAACTATCTGTTCACATGCTAAAATACTGTAGCTTCATACAGTACGTGACGGTCAAAAAAAGCATAACTTTGGTAATGCGCCTTTTATCAAGTACATTTGAGATTATTTTATAAACAACTTCTAAATGTGTTTAGAAGAGACAAAACCTGTGGGCAAACTGTTACTACAATTATTGGATTTACTTAAAAATCTCCCTACCTGTCCGACTTAGCGTATTTCCTAAAGGCTTGTCTAGTGAGGTCTTGGAAGGATCTGTAAGTCTGTGGCTCTGCTGATATGCCTTGGGCTCGCCTGGTCCTAGGTCCGATGATCTGTGCGCTGGGCAGCACCGACTGACATTTGTGCAGTTTCCTCTTCAATTCGTGGATTTCTTCCTCTTTTTCCGCCAAACGCCTCTCCAGATCCTTTATCCTCTCCTCTTTTAGCACGAGAATTTTAGCAAAGTCTTCTTCCAGATCACTCATTTTCACACGCGTACAAACTTTTTTTTCCTTTGGAGAACAAACGCTAGCACAATCCAGTGGATCCAGTGGTAAAGCCCTTTTGCTTCTGAGGGAGAGACCTGACACTAATGGGTGATGTGAGAATTATTCGATCCACCTACTTATTGCTGAATTAGCTGTAAAAAAGAAAGAAAGGATGTCTAAAAAAGCCGCCGATGTATCTGCTGAGCGCAAATCCGCAGATCCTCCAGGGAACTGGTGATTATCTTTCATTGAGAAACCAATTAGAGCTGCCCTTCCTCTCCCGAGCCCTTCAGTCACTTTGTGTAAGCACACACCGGCGATGAGGCAGTGTCTGGTCAGAGCTGTAGCAATACTCCAAACCACCGTGACAGCATCTATAACACTCTAACGCAAAGTGATGGCAAAAAAGGAAAAAAAAATCTGTGTCTCTCAGCTCAAGACTTGATCCTTGAAATAGCAGCAATTACCATGTGATCCGAAGGGTGACGCAGTCCTCTGTAACTCGATCTACTTCTTGAAGACAATGTTTTCATCGTTAGATACAAGATATCGCTGAACTACGCACACACGCACGAAAAAGCATGGCATGGTGTCTTTCTTTCGAAGTCGTTGAAGTCACGTCGCCTATTGCTTTTCTCGTTCTTCACTGTTGTTCTGGGCGTTTAAGTAGGAACACCTCGTGTTTCAACCGAATGAAGCTATTACGAACAGGCTTCGCAAAGTTTTATGTCTCAAAATGTTGTCCGTAAGCTTGCGTGCTTGTTATCGTGGAAAACATCAACATTAAGGTTTAGAATTCGGTATTTTCATAAAACCTAAACCTGGAGAGTACATCCTGCAACACATTCCATCGACCTGCCCCACAAGCAGTATCAAAGAGCACAGTACAGAGTACTGCATTTCTGTGAAGTTCAACTTCATAGAGCACAACTTCGCGACTCGCTTTACAGTTGCTTATAAGATCAGAAGTGCCTCTCGAAGTCATAAAAACATCTTTTACAACCAGCAGCAGGGTTGTTCCGACTTGAAATAGTTCCAAGAGGTTTGGTAGGAGGAGTTACGTGCTGCTGCTTAGTATGCAGAACTGACTGTAGTAGGTGTTAGCTGTGCACAGAAACTGAATGGTTCCGGCGAACTGTGTTGAACGTTCAGACCAAAAGAGGGAAACTTGTTACCTCTGCGCGGTAACATTAGGATTTTGTTTTTCAGTTAAAAATTACAATAGCTAGGAGCACGACCAAGATGCAGGTGATAAATCGAAAAATTCACCATATACGAAGGATATCAATTCCTTTACCCATCATAGAAAAGCCGCGTACGCTTATTCCTATCCCTGAAGCAGGAGGGAGCAAAATGTACCCCTCATCCCGTCCTTCGCAGGACTCATCCACAGACAGGTGTGGGACACCCATTGACCTGGCACGACTGAGGGCAAGAGGACACTGGAGCACGACGAGAAAAGCCACGCGAATAACCCGCCCAGGTCGAAATGGAACCCAAGACCTCCCAGGCGCTGTAAGGAGTGACTGAACCTCCCCTAATACTGATAATAGTTTAGAAAAAACACCTACACGCATTTCTCATTCGTTGAGCTCTAAACATAACGTTGAATCATCACTCCATTTGAATGCACCTAGCTTATACGATTGTGTGATAACTCACGGAGAAAATGGTCAAAATTCGTCCTTCAAAGATCTCCTTAAAGTTTTTAATCTTTCCCGACTGTATGTCGTCTTACTCGAAATCTGTTCAATTGAACACCTAGAGGCTAATGCAAGCACCCGTGTGCTTTTGAAAAAGCAGGATAATTAAGGAGATTGTCAGTTTTTGTGTTAAATTCCAATGAACCTATATGTTAAGCATCTACTCTGGCAAAGGTCCATAACGTGAAATGCACATTGTACAGTAATATATATATATGGATTCATTATTTTAAATATTAATTATTGTGACATTCTTTCTTTGAAGATCATTTTAAGAAAACATTCACAATTGAAGAGATGCTTGACAACAGGGATCAGCATTTAAAGCGCACTTTGGAATCATTCTTAGATGTTGTCTGGAAATTCACGTATGACTCATCCTGCACGGATGGTTAATGAACTGAAATACCGAAAACACGACCATAGACAATCTGACAGTTGTGAGCTATAGTAAGGTCCCAAGACTAACAGCTGTAGAGAAGCGCCACCTTGTGAACGATACAACATTTTACTGACCTGGTGGCACTGATTGCTTAATAAAGATGTGGATGTGATGCGCTGCAATAAATAATAAAGCTCTCACTACTCAGAAACAAGAAGCTCTCCATCGCAGCCAAAATATTATGACCTACCTGAAAAACACACGCATCATCATCTCCATAACATCTCCATCATCATCTTTATCACCAAATAGCGTGTTTGAAATCTCGACAGGACTTTGCGGTACAATATTTATTCTACAGCAGGATTGACTTCCGTTGAATTGGTGATGAAATTGATGGCGTGTGGTCCTGGCCTTCATTAGGATGAAGTCCAGTGGAGGCTTCTCAGAGGTGTCGAGGGGAGTTATAGCTTCCCTAAAGCAATCTTGTGCGAAAATACACTTGACTTGAAATAATCAATTCTGTAATACACACAGTATATACAGTACTTTGTATTCCGATAGAAATGTGTTTACATAATACTTCCTAAAAGTTTTCTAATAAACATTAGAACCTGTACTTGTAACATCGTTCAGATGCTATGATAAGCGGTTTTATTTTTCCGATCTTCCATGCATGTTGAAGATAAATTGCAAAACTGCATCTGATTCTGGGAATGTTCTCTTATTGGCTTAGATCCCACTGCTCGGAAGTCAGCATCTCCGTATACTGTATGTCAGAGCGAATGCAGCTATGAAGCTGTACTGCTTCTTGGTCATAGAGACTGGCAATACTTCCGCTGCTCCTATTGTGTGTGTTTTTTTGTGATATATGGGGCCCTAATTGTGCAGGAGGACATTGGTGTTTTATAACTCGTCACCTTAAAGGCGTTTGCAACCTGACGTCAACGGCATTTGTCTCAGATTCTGTTACAACCTCATATACTGTACAGTTGGCCTACTTCAAAATACAGTACTGTACATTCACGCATGTATTACGGTGTATTCCTACAGTACTTCTTTGCTAAAACACTGTGTCTTAAGATGTTATAGAGAACGGAGTGTAGTTATAAAGGAGTGTTTGAAATGTGGGATATTATGGAGAGCATACAGGTAGGGGTGGTGTAAAAGCACCGTGGGCAGCGCCGTGAGTGAACAGTATTTCTGACTGTGTTTACCATTCTGCGCTCGTGATAGGCTTCTGTGCTCAGTTGTGACACTGTGTGTAGTTTGCAAGTTCCCCTCCCTACTTACGTGAGATTTATCTGTGCGCCAAGGACAGATTGCCCTTGTTAATAGGATATTTCAGCATCATTCTTCAGGAAAAAATATACACTTTTTCAAAAATGAAATGAAATCCAGACTTCCTAATTTATGTCCTGCTTATACTATGTTTTTTAAAAATAATGATGTAATTATTACATCAATGTTTAATTTGTTTACTGCAGGAGATTATAAGCAGTAATAAGTGATAGACAATGAATCAGTAAGGAAAGAAAGGAAATGAGTCCACAACAGACCAGCGAGAGAGGTGACAGAGAGTAAATGAGATTAATGTGATTAATATGAATAATAAGCTAAACAACTACCCACTCAGACCCTGTCTGCCCACCGCCTTTGGGCTGCTCTGCATGACCATCGCCCTGCGAACTGACTTTGAGCTGCCTTGTAACATCCCGACACTAAGGTAGGCTCCTGAAACGTACTGTACCACCAAGTGTAGGAAAGCTTCTTTCTATCAGCACCCTGGCTCTGCCCACAACCCTTCCCCCGCCCTCCTGGGCTTCAAGTGTCTCCAGCTGGCACTCAGGGAGTCCTGGGGGTTGTTCTGGCCAGGGGAAGTCGTGGAAGTCTCTCTCAAGCCACCCACACATTGTCTGACACTGAGAGGGCCACAGCATGACTGCGGCTTCTAACACTTCCACCAGCGCGGCAGGTCTGTTTTTTTTTGCTCACGACAGACGGGCTGATATGACCTTTCCTCTGAAGGTAATATGATCCTTCTCCATGTGTTTTTTTAATGATTTAAATAATAAGTTAGATAAATGGTTTATTTGCAGAACATGCATACAGTAGATATAAAAGGCAGTTTCCACACTGGCTCATCAGGCAAGATCTTATTCTGGTTTTCATGGCCTGAGGCAGGCTAGAGATTACATAACCCTCTCTGGACAGAACACTGGTTACTCTGCTACCCAGCAGCGCTGGTCCCCTTTCACACAACTGGGATGCCTGGAAAAAGTGGGCTAAAGAATCTCGGTCAAGGTACAACAGCAGGCTCTGCACTAGGGACTTGAACCCGCAACCCATCAGTTAACAGTCCAGAGACTTACTGATTATGCTACACCACCCCCAATGGGTGTATGAAAAATCATAGCAGAACAACATATGAAATAAACATTTTTTATGCTTTGAACTACATCCACTCCAAATAAACTCTTCAATTCAGAAATACGATTGTGGAATGTAACTCGAGGTACAATAAAAATAATCCCTCTCATCATAATTCTTATTTGCCTCAAAGACACAATGTTAAATTTGACTTAGAGTTATATAATACTGGTGCCTCAGGTACCAAATGTCCTTTCTCCAGATCAGTAGTATTTAATAGCTGTTCCAAATGGAAATTTATGATATGTGTAAAACACTGGAATGCATCAAGGCCTGTGGCCATAACTTGGTTAATACTAACAAGTCACAATGACCGGTTAGAATGTGCTCTGTTAAAGTTAAGTTAGGCACAAAGTTCTTGTTTTAATCTTTAACCTAAAAGCTGCAAGTGGTGTGCTTTCATGGGAGTCACTTCAGAATTTCGGTGAGCTGTAAGATGGCTGCCAGGCTAAACACAGTTACTGTATGATAATGTAACTTTTATATGATTGATTTGTATCAAAATCAGTGCTCCGCTTCATTTGTTAAAAAGACAAAAACAAAATCCTGTAGACAGGCTGAAGAAAAAAGCCCAGAAGATGTGGTTGTAAAAATCTGCTATCAAACAAAGAAAAGGTGTTGGAAACTGTTCATAAAAGCAGAATCATTCTCAAATCTGTAAAGCAACTTTTCTACAAAAATATAAAGAATAACATTTTTATAATGAAGTCTATACTACATGCCTGTCAGTGCATCCTAATAAATCTACACCATTCTTTTGCCATTGTTTTTTTCTTCTGGATGGATTCTAGCTACCAGAAATAAAAAAAAGACATCTGCATAAATCTGCATAAAATATACATATAAAATATAATAGCAATGTTTTAACACTTTTAAGCTTCAGATTACTTATTGATAATTCTAAGTATTCTAAGTCTAAGATAATTCTAAGTATAAAAGCAAATGGGATCCTTGGGCATTAAAGATCCTATTCAACGTTTTGAAAGGGTAGGGAACTGCTGTCATGGCTAAATTATATTCTTGGCTTGCAGTTGGTGAAGCAATTTTGATTTCTCTACCTGATCTGCTGTGTAGTGGGGCTGCATCTCAGCAGTGGATGAACTGGGTCCTGTATTGTAACGAATTCTTAATTAACATGATAAGTGAAAGTATAAGTTAAACTATAAGTTTTAGGATAAAGGGAGCTGAAACCTGTTTAGAATTACTAATAACAGAACAAGTAAGATGATCTGAATGGCCTCCAGTCATTTGTACCTTTTTTACTGCATTCCTATGTCTCTTAAATAATGCAGGTCCAGTAATTAAGATTTGGCAGTGCTTAGTTTTGAAAGTAAAGGGAAGTAAATCAATCCCATGATATTAGTGGTCTTTTGCTATTAGGAAAAAGAGGACAGTCATGCAGTACCAAACTACCTTCATAACTTCATAAATTAAGAACATATATAAAACAAAAATACGATTTTCCTGTACAATTAAAGTGACTCCTTTTGTAAATACTGTAGCTTTATTGC